ACAAAGAAAAAGAGAAAGAGTCGGTGATTGTTGATGCAGAATCTTCGCGGGAGATCAACGACTTCGTGGATGCCTGGGAGACTTCGGCTGAACTCTAAGTTGGAACCCGAGCGCGGCTCATTTGTGGGAACTTACTAGGTTTTGTCGAGATGTTCGTTGTCACTTTAACTCTAATCTTCGTTTTAGTGTCTGTGGTGACTTATGTTCTTTAGATTCTGTCGGTGTTCTTTCGCCTTCGTCTGTCTCGGCCCCCGTTGATTTCGTTCGTGACAGGGTTTTGAACGGCTTCTACTGTTCTGTTGTGTTGAGGCTTATCCTTGATTACCAAATCTCGTGGGCTGTGAAGTTTCGTAGTTATTTCTTGGAACTGCTTGCTAGCAATGTTGACTTGGAAGTCTGTGATGATCCCCTTGTGTATCAGTGTTGTCTGCTGAAGAATCGTAGTATAGGTGATCTTTTGTTCGACTTTAGAACAACTACTCAAAGTAAGAAGGTTGAATGTTGCTGTGAGTCTTTTTCTCTGGAGTTTCCGAAGACTAATGGTCATGTTTGCTTCCGGATTAAGGATTTGGATTCGGCTCTTGATTGGTTAAAAAATAATAAGAATTTTTCACGGCCTGCATAGTGTGATGTGAATCGGTTATTGCTCAAGCAACTGAGAGACTCTGTTAATGATCTGAACTTTTTTATTCCAACCTTTTCTATTGAGGATTTTGGTAACTGTGTGCGTTTATGACGGGAGGATGTGGTGCATTCTTGCTCGGTGGAAAATGTTTTGGAATGAAAGAAAATATAGGAAGGGCTGGTCAAGGTGTTTATCGACCACAATCCGGGTGACACTTTCGTCTGCAGCTGCCCGCTGGTGTGTCGGTTAGGAATGAACAAATTGTTTCTGGATAATCAGGGTTTTCGTCTAATGGAGAAGCCAAAGGATATCTTGATGAGCACCACTGAAAAAGATTATGAGGATTTGGGGTTGTCGCGCCTAGCCAACTGGAATAAGAAAGGGATGTTGGGCCAGACCTATGTCATTCAGAAACACAAGGACATCAACAAGTGGCGTCCGATATGTCCTAGTTTTTATGATTGTGGTGTGTGAGCTTGCCGTAAGATATCTAAGGCAGTTAATGTGTTAGTCTAGAATCTGTCGAAGCGTTCTTACTTCAATTTGCGAAACACTGACTTGTTGATTGAAAATTAGAAGGATGTTAATCGAGATCTGAATTGCGGTGAACGCTGGATCACTTCGGCATATAACATTAAAGAGATGTTTTGTAATTTGCCCCATCTTGCTATCTTGGGCGCTCTCGAGTGGATTGTGGATTACTGGTTGTCTTTTGGTACTAAGGACGTTTTGCTAAGGAAGAGAGGAAAGGGTGCAATGATTTGACATACTCGAACCCCCGAAGGGTGGGAGGGAATTGATTTTGAACTAATTAGAAAGTTTGTTGAGTACGATGTGGAAAATACTTATGTAGTTGCTTCCGCTAGGATTCTGCAGCGAAGATTGGGATTCCAATGGGCAAATCATCCAGCCCGACGATAGCATGTCTACTTTCTGCCTTTTCAAAATTCAAGTTTCCGACCAATTTAGACGCTTATCGGAGATTGGTTTATGGGGTGCGTTTTATCGACGATGTTTTGATTTCCGTTAAGTATCGTAAGGGTGATGCTTCCTCTCTCTGGAAAGGGTACAAATTGCTGAATTTATTTGAAAAATGCTATGCCGCGAATCTGAACTTGGACTGTACAGGCAGGGCAGAGAACTGAGAATTCCTGAAATGTGTGGGAAAGGATTTCGGTTGGCCCATGGGGATTCATTGTGCTGTCATACATAAGAATCAACGAAACATTCGGGATGGTATTCTATTCCAGAATGTGTAGGATGCGTGTTCTTACTCCAGCAGACAACAAAAGTTGGCAGTTGTTGGCTCCTTCCTTCATAGAGCATATAGGTTCACAGATATGCCGGTTGCAGTTACGGTTTTTCTCTTTACAAGATTAGAAGTGGAGTTAAGGTTGATAGGTTTTGATGATGAGTTTTCCGATTCAACGCTTCACAACTTTTCCAACAAGTTAACGGGATGCTGGGATGACTGGGTTGACTGCTTTACTGGGTGGAATCGGGTTTCAGGATGTGGCAATATTAGGGGCCACTTTTTATGAATTGGGCCTCTCATTCGGGGTCCGTGGGTACTTGGGGTTTCTGTTCAGGGCCTCTCATTCAGGGTTCGTCGGTACTTGGGGTTTCTGTTCGTAACGGAGGGTCGGTCTGGTCTAAGCAGGGTAGTTTTTTCCATTTGACCAATAGTTAGGAAGTACTTTCGCGACCGTCCATCTAGGACTTTCCTAACCACTAGTACTTATACGTACCGACCGTCATAGTTCTCATCTCCTTCGTTCGCTGTGAGACCCCTGATGAGCTCCGGTTCCGGTGACCAGATGAAACATGTTGGGTCGATCGCCCGCGGCTAGTATGATCATGACGTTTAGGCGTTTTTGCCTGCTTCGGTTCGAACCTTGATAGGCGCTTTCTGTGCTTCACGATGATTTTATGCCTATCCCGCCACGTTCGGGAGTTTCGTGACTACGACGTGTCCGTGTGCTTCTTCTTTCTTCCTTCTTGCGTGTTGTGAGTTTTTGATCTTGTATGCTAACTTCTCTTCTATACTTGGTTGGATGCATGTGATTTCATCACCAAGGACCAGACCCGCGGTGATTGCTGGTAGCGGCAGCCAATGGTTGTCCTGAGGTCAAATTCCGGTGCTGGAATGACCGTGGGCAGGCAGAAAAGAGATGAGCGCAATAGAGGGGCAGATGGCGAAGAGGGAAGTGTTACGGTACCAGGCATCCAGGGTCAGACCCATGGAGAAAAGTTCATAGTCGCAGGCC